ATCTTCTAAAAACAAGAAAAATTTCTTTAAATCTTTTTTAGTTACCCTTATACCTCGTGCCTTGAGGGAATCCTTGATACCCTTTTACGAACAATTCATGTTCACTTAATCTCTGTCCCATAATTTCACTGCCCTTACCTCCTCTCATGCCTCTCTCACAGGGCGGGTAATCCCATGGCGGCAGCTCCGTGCCTGTCTCACAGGACGAATAGTCCTGTGGCTGGCAACAGTGCGAGTCTTTACTTGTGGTCCCAGACTCATGGCGACTCAATGCATGGACCAGCTGGTCACTTCTAGCGGGCAGCGTTCATCATCCTTCCCCGTTCCTGGGCCCCATGTTTGGGTGCCAATTATGCCCCAGCCCACGGGGATCTTCAACGGTGACCCTAGGAGGGGAAGAAAGAGAATGGGGAGGCAGGAGGCACAAAGCAGGAAGACGAATCTAATCTCCGATCAAGTCTTCATTTTATTGAAAGCACTCACAGTGTATATATATATATATTGAGAGAGAGAGAGAGAGAGAGAGAGAGAGAGAAGCACAATGGGGGGAGGAGAAGTACGCAATGGGGGAGAATAACATGCCGTTTTCCAGTAAGCTGAAAGTTATCTGGTAAACAGAAACTTAGCAGGGTGGTCCCAGTAAACCGAAACCTATCCTCCCAGGGAGGGGCAACATGTCCAAACATGTTCTTAGAGAATTACAAAATGGCTTCAGAGAATTACAAAATGGCTTCAGCTAGGTAGAACAAACGGCTTCCAGCAAGACAGGTCTAGCCTCAATGCCCACCTGCATTATCCACCAGACCCACGAGGCAATGGCCAAAAAAGAAAATTACATGGGCTGGGCTTCAGGAGGATCTTGCTCTGAGAGCCTAGGTAGGAAGCTACTCAGATTACCCTTTTCTTGCACTATCTTAATCTAAGTTATTTTATTGGTAAGAAAGAGATTATAATTACTTCAGTGAGCTTTTGGAATATTAAATGAAATAAATGTGCTTGGTGTGAAGTCATCTTCATCAACTCACGGCGGTAGAGTCAGAACTAACTCACAGCTGATCTTAACTTTCCATTGGGTTTCCAAAGCTGTAAACTGAAGGGGAATAGATTGCCCATCTTTCTCCAGAGGAGCAATGCATTCCAATGGCCAAGGAGGTGTGGCCTTTGGATTGGCAGTGTAACTTTCCATGGATGCTAAAGAGCAATATCAGTCTAAAGACTAATTACTTGCTATGCATCAGAGAGCTGGACAATGACTAAGGATGCTAGAAGAAAAAACCAATGCCCATGAACTGTGGTACTGGAGTAGAGTATTAGACATACCATAGACTGCCCACAGAACAAACAGGTCTGTCTTGGAGAGGGTGAAACCAACTTGCTTATTGGAAGCAAGGATTTTGAAGCTCTTTCTCACCCCCTTTGGGGATATATCCAGGAGGGATCTGTCCTTCAAGAAGGACATTATGCTTGGAAGGGTGGAGAGACAGCACAGGAGAGCAAGACCCTGGACGGGATGGATTGACCCAGTAACTGGGGTAATGAGGGTAGGTGTGTCAGAGACAATGAAGTTGGCTCAGGAGAGGGCAGGGTTCAACCCTATTGTGCATAGGGTTGCTATGAGTCACAGATGGCTTGATGACACATAATGACAACAACAACAGCAACAGAACAACTACTGTTAGAGTTTCTCTATGATTAGCATTCTTGGCTGTGAACAAAAAGGTTGGCTGTTCAAATACACCGAGAAGAACTCAGAAGAAATGTCTAGTGGTCTACTACTGAAAAATTGGCCACTTAAGACCCTAGAAGTGCAGTCTACTCTGGTACACCTGGTCATGAGCCAGGACGGACTGAACTACAACTGGTTATTGTTGTTTAGAACCTGAAAAAGGGCAGAGAACCTATGTTCTATCTCTTGTATCATTCTATGTGGAAGTTGCATTCTCCCATGAAGTTAGTGAACTAGGATGGGGTGCAGCTCAAAGACCTGAAAGAGAGTAAATGAGACATAGTCTAATTCAGGCAGGAAATTCCTGGAAGGAGATAGAATAAATGAGATGCCCAAAATTCCCCAGTGACATTTCCAAGGATTTGATAATTTTTGAACTCACCTCTGTCACCTCCAAAATAGAGATTAGTTCATAGGTTCATGGATGAATGGTCTGTGTTTCTTTAGATGAGTCACAAATTACCCTTGTCATCCTAATCTTTGAATTTTGGAAAGGTTATTTGCTGAGTCAATTCTTTTTCTGTCATCCTTACTCATTGTCTAGGTCTTGGATGCATAGCTAGTAATAGGAAAGCCTATGGCCTGAATCAGATGCACCTTAGTTCTCAAACTGACATCTTTACTCCACAATAGTTTGGAAAGGTCCCTAACTGCAGATTTTCCCAGTGCAATGTGTCTCCTTATTTCCTGACTGCTTGTACCAAGGGTGTTAATTGTGGATCCAAGCAAGATGAAGCTGTTAATCATTTCAATCTCCCCTCCACCCATTATGACATTGTCTATTGGCCCAGTGGTAAGAATTTTTGTTGTCTTGATATTGAGACACAATCCATATCGAAGACTGCATTCCTTGATCTTCTGCAACAAGTGCTTCAGATCCTCTTCACTTTCAGCAAGCAAGGTTGTGTCATCTGCATAATGCAGGTTATTGATGAGTCTCCCCCCAGTCACAATGCCACATTCCTCTTCATAGAGTCTAGCTTCTAGGATAATTTGCTCAACATGTGGATTGAACAGGTATGGAGATAGAATACATCCCTGACACACTCCCTTCCTAGTTAGTTCCAAAGCATGCAGTGCTCCCCTGCTCCATTTGCAAAAGCCTCGAGGTCCTGGTATAGGTTCCTCATGAGCACAATCAAATACTCTGGATTCCCATTCTTCTCAATGTCAGCCACAACTTGTCATGATCCACACAGTCAAATGCCTTTGCATAGTCAATAAAGCACAAATAGACATTTTTTTTCTTATTCCAGTTTTTATTGTGAAATTTCCAAACAATACATCACACATAAACCCAATCCAAATGTTGAATATGGATACAAATGTAACTTGGTTTTTTCTATTTCTTTGTTTTTTAAAGGCAGTAATCTTTTGAAATAGTTAATACAATTGTTGCTACCACATTAAGAACAGTCCTCCTGGCTCCACAGACTTACCTGGACTTCCATTCAAGTGTTGCTTAGCCCAGGCGAGAGGTCACCAAAGCCCAAATCCATTCCATTCCCATCTAGTCTTGTCCCCTCCAGTCGCCTCTCCTAGCATTTGAAGACAACAGGTTGAGTTGGCAGATATTATTTATGGACCCCTGAGGTTGTTTTACCGGTTCAATCTCAGTTTTATAGAATTCTTGATAATAGGAATAGGATTCGCAGGGAGGGCAGGGATATCAGAAAGGTCTGTACTGGATGTTTTCTGCAAGGCCAGCAGGGCAGCCACCGTCTGAAGAGTCTCTGATGGAGTCGTACTTGTCTCGGTATCAAGTTGTTCCTCTTCTGTTTTTGCTTTCTTAGGACTCTCTTCTTTATGTGGGGGGGATGTCCTCTTGACTCCTACTACAGGACTAGGTATTTTTGTTGTGTTTCCTGAAGTTCTAGGTGGCTGGTTTACCAGACATGTTGAAGTAGCGACTCTGGAGACCGTAGGCTTTGGTGGTGGAGAAATGGCTGGCTGTGTGGCAGTTTGAGGAATGCTTTCACTCGATGTGCCCCCTAAGCTCTCACTGGAATTGACTTGTGGTACAGAAACCTCAGGAGCCGGGATGTTGGTCACAGAGGCAGCTGTTACAGCCGGAGTGGGACTGTTTCTGCCCTGAGAGCTGCCAGAACTGTTCAATGGACTGGTCTTCATAGCACTAGTGGGTGAAGGCACAGACACGCTGTTGTCACTGTCCAGGGACAAGTTGAGGCTGTTGTCATTCAAAGTTGCCAATCTGACCCCTTCTGCTGAATGATTTTTCTTTTTCTTTAGCACATAATTAGGGAGCAGCTGATGGAGTTGCCTTCTTTTTACATGCATTGCAGTGATTTTCATATCCACCTCAAACATCTTGCTGTTTATTGCTTGCCTATAAACTGTAGCGGTGAAAGACTGAATATCATAGGTGAGATCAACATTGAGGTTTTCGATTTTCTTAAACACTAACCCGATCACCCACATTGTACCAAATTCTTCCTTGTCGGGGTTTTCTTTGGGTGCTGGGAAGGACTGGGGGTTCACATGTGCCAGTGTGATGAATTCGTTCTTCTCCAAGCTTCCAACCAGGATGCGGATTTTTGATTCCACCAAGCCCACCCATTCGAGGTGCTGTTTTTCTGTTGGTGCACTTGCTAGAAGTACAATATAATGCTTGTACTTTTGAAAGAAGCTTGGAGCTTCAAAAAGTTTGGACCACTCTGCCTTACTCATAAAAATTTCATCTGTGATAGCAAGACCTTGCTTGAATTCCTCAACCATGACCATGCGTGTTGAAACAGACACATTGTACGTAGAGTTCTGCTGTGGGTAGGCTGGTGTAATTATAGGCATAAGATGGTACCTATCACTGGGATTTACCCTTGGGTCCCACACAGGCAAATTAAGATTGCATTCTTCAGGCTGTTTCAATAGCACTGGATTTGGCCATTCCCATTTAGAAAATACAAAGAAAAATTTATGTACAAGAGTTGATGCTATTGCATTTGGATAAAGCTGGCAAATTCTTGCTACTAGCATAGCCCAGGAAACACCACCGAGGAAACCTAACATATTGGAATAGATGTTGTGGCGTTTGGCCCACAGTTTGATAGTTCTCAGAGTTAACCTGAAGTTGTCAATGTTTGGTACTAGATGCAAAATTTCATCGGTTACCCTGCAACCATTAAGACTTCTTATGCATCTTATATCTAAATTTCTAAGCAGACTGGTATCTTGTAAGTCCAAGTCTTCTGGAATAGTCTGCAGTGCTAATCTTGCAAACAAAATATCAATCTCTATCCCATCAAAACACAGTTTGATGACAGGCACAAAGGCCTCTTCCACAGCTCTTAAATATTTTACTTCTTCCTGTAATTTCAATTTATAATAAAATGAGGTGAAAAAGTCACTTCGATCCACATGTCTTGGTGCAACACACAATGCATCAATATCAGCACCTTTTGTGTGTACTCCTAACCTGTAAGATCCAAATGTAAAAATCTTTCCGCCAACATTTTCAATTACATCTTGTGGAAGATTCTTGCTTTCACTGATTTCTCGTATCCACTCTTTTACCAGGTTATTTAATTTTCCCAAAATTAAAATCCTGCCCTGCAGCTCCTCTTCCTCTTCAAAGACCCCAAAAGGCTTCAGAGTTTCAACAAGTTTCTGTGTAAGGGTGCTGTCGGACTCCTTGGGGAATGCAAGGCTGATAGGAGAAGTGATACCATAGTGCTTCTGGGGCGGCCGCGTCTGCTGTGATCCCTGCGCTGTAACTGGAAACCGCATCATCTCCCGCATGGCGCCGCCTGGGTATGAGCCACCAAGGGCATCTGCGGCCTGGCTCTGACGCGCCCGCACTTGCGCAGCCGCTTTTAAGCCCTTCTCCCACTTCGTCCTATCATGGCGCCGGAGCGCTATAGAACCGGTGACGCCACCATGCACACAGCCCCGCCTGCGCGCCGGGGCCGGGCCGCAGGGCCTGACGGGAAGTGTAGTCCGCAGACAAACAGACATTTTTCTGGTATTCCTTAATTCCAGCCAGGATCCATCTGACATCAGCAATGATCTCTCTTGTGTCATGACCTCTTCTAAGTCCTGCTTGAGCTTCTGGCAATTCTCTGTCTATGTACTGTTCCAGCTATTTTTGAATGATCTTCAGCAGTATTTTGCTTGCATGCAATATCAATGATATTGTTCAATAATTTCCACATTCAGTTGGATCACCCTTCTTGGGAATGGTAGCGAATATGGACCTCTTCCAATCTGTTGGCCAAATAGCCATGCTCCATGAAAGGACCAGTTATCAGAAACTCAGTTTCGAGGGGCCCCACTTCCGGGCGGGTGCGGAGCGGGAGGCGGGCCGGACCAGCTGGGGCTGCG